TCGGAGGCGTGGCTAGTTCTAGTTGTTGATAAGAAACAACTTCGAAGTGTAGAGGTTCCTTTGGTGGAAGTAGTTATGGGAGAATTGGATTTGGAAGAATTGGAATGCGAGAGTCGTATCCAGAGCTGTTTGGATCAGATAACATTTTCGAGGACGAAAATTCCTAAAGTGGGGGAGAGTTGTAACAGCCCAAATTTCATTAAATAATTAATTGTGTTAATTAATTGATTTATTTGGATTATTCTAATTATTTGAATAATTAGATGTTTGTTTAATGGATTGATAGATGTTTTGAGAAAGTAAATATATTGGAAAGAAATAAAGAGAAAGGTATTATGGAGGAAATAAAATGGAAAGAAAATGATAGAGAGAAAAGAAAAGAAAAGAAATAAAAGGATATAAAAAGGGGATTGGAGGGAAAGAGAAAGATAGAAAGAAAGAAAGAAAAGAGAAAGAAAGAAGAAGAGGAGAAATGAAGAGGAGAAAGGGAAAACTTGGAGGATCATCAAGAACCAACATCAAAGCTCCGATTAATCGAGGTAAGGGTGAGAAACATTGCTATTTAATCATTGTATGCTATTATGTATGTTGGGTTTGGGTTTGTGGATGTTTTTCATCACTTTCCAATTAGGGCAAATGTTGGATTAATCAGTAGAATGATGATTTAATCGGTTGAAACTGAGCAATAATGCCGTAGAATAGTTGGGTAACATGTGTTGATGCTGTTTGTACTGATTTTGTTGTGTGAGAAGTTGGATGATGGTGGATGGTGGAGGTGGAACAGAATAGGATTCTGTTCTGCGCAGGTTCGCTGGCTCTCGCCAGGCGAGCGAAGGCGAAGCTTCGCCAGGCGAAGCCTAGCGAATGTTGGCGAATAATTATATTTAAGTCCCAGTGGACTTCGCTGGTGGGTTCGCCAGGCGAAGTTAAGTAGCGAGGGCTCGCCCAGCGAAGGTGCTGGCGAATGGTGGCGAATGAAGTCAGTAGCTACTGACTTGGGCTCGCTGGGAGGTCTCGCCAGGCGAAGCCTAGCGAATGTTTGCTGAGAGAGTTCGCCAGGCGAAGGCCAGGCGAAGGTTCGCTGCGAGGGTTCGCCAGGCGAATGAAGGCGAATGTGGCAGTATATTTTCTTTGTTGTGTTATCCAATGGTGATTGTTTGGTTGATTCGCATAGGTTAATACTTCTATGTTATGAATGAGTATGTGAACTCTTATGATAACATGTGCTGTGGGTAGCCTTCGGGCGTGAATCCTAGAGTTGTGATATGAATGATTAATTGTAATTGGTTAAAATACATGAGAACATAATGATGATTATGTGTGTATTAATTGATGAGTTTGTGAATGTTTGATTGTTGGGTACAATTATGTAATAAGTTTGCAGGAGAACATTGTGGATATATGTGTGCATAACTTATAATTGTATGATTGGTATTATGATGTGTATACCTTGTATGAGATGGCATGAGATAAAGAATAAACATACTATGAAAAATGTGTTGTGGATGCATATTGTTTATATGCGATTGTATGTTAAAATACATGAAGAATGCATGAGAGCATAATGATGGCTATGCGTGCATTGCTTGATAGATGTTGTAAATGCATATTGTATGTATGTTAATAATTGTGAGAGATGCATGGGAACATATCGTGGATATGTGTGCATCGTTAATAATTGTGAGAGATGCAGGGGAACATATCGTGGATATGTGTGCATCGTTAATAATTGTGAGAAATGCATGGGAATATATCGTGGATATATGTGCATTGTTTGATGATGTGGTAATAGCATAATTGTCATGGATATATGAAGTATGCTTGTGATTATGATGGGTTTTGGATGATTGGGAAATATGTATGCGAATGTTGTGTGAATGCATGGGAACATATGTAATATGTGTGCATTGTTGTTGAATATGATGATGTGTGAAATGAATACATTGATAAATGTTTGATATATGTTGTATGTGCAATCATGATGAAATTCTCGAAGGGGTGAATTATTCGAATGCATGGGATTAAGACGCGGGAACGGTCTTAAGTGCATTTATTGTGATTGGTTGATTGTACATGCATCATTCAGTCAAGAGGCAATGTCTGTTAGTTTCGTGGAAACTAGTGGCTTGTCCCAAACCTAGAAGGGTGGGTTTGAAGCCTAGGGGACGGGCTTGGTTGTTATCGGTCTAGAAGGGTGGACCCGGTTTAAAGTAAAAACCGAAAAATGATAACGAGTTATCGGTCTAGAAGGGTGGACCCGGTTTAGAGTGAAAACCGAAAAAAAGATAACGTGAGTCGGTACCGCATAGCATTGAGTTGCATTGAATATGTTGAGTCACATTGCATAATATTGTTGTTGTATAAATGTGCGTGTGAATGATTGTGAAATTAAGCATGAAGGGATGTGCTTGTGGATGTTCATAATGTTGATATATGTGAACGTGATATGATTATGATTATGAGAATGAAGTGTGGTGAGAAATGTGAATATGTGCTATATGATACCTATATATACATGATTTTATGCTTTGATTATTATGGTAATATTTCTCACCCTTCTGCTGTTTTATAATGCTCTATGAGGCATTGCAGATTAGGTTGCTGGAGGCCTTTATGAAGTTCTGCTTGTAGTTCGAGGTCGCTACGTGTGTAGCGGTTTAGTAATTATTTATGGGTCGAGTCATGCTCTGGTCGTGTAACACGGGGATCGATTGCTTATGTTTTAGGATTACATTATGTAACCTAAGTTATGTTTTCATATTTGGAGTAATTGATATAATGAGATGTTGGCCTTAGTGCCCGGAGATGTTGATTTTATATGATGAAAGTAAATGTTTCTTTTAAAGGATTTTCATTAATGAATCCGCTGCTGCATGCAAACTGAAATTTTGTAAAGCATGATTATTTATTGAAATATTAATGAGCATGACAGATTGTTTTAATGTGGTGCAAGTTTTGTGTGACGCCCTTTTTATTTGAATGCATGTTAATTTTACTCTGATTATGCATATATTTTCCGTGGGGTTTAGAAGGGTGTTACAGTCATCAACATGTAAAATGAGGGGATTATTTAAAAATATCTAATCGTTTTACCTTATCGACTTTACTTCTAAAAATTCTCTCATCTTTGTTTTCATACCAAATCATAAGTGAAACCCCCTTTATTTAATTTAAATCGAATTGTTATTACCTTGTTTTAATTTGCAATCCTTATGAAGATGATTTTTTTTTTTTACTTTGACGAGACTAGTATGCTTGCTAGTTAAGTCCATCAAATTTTCGGCACTATTGTCGGATATTGTTGATAATTTCAACAAGGCAATATTTGTGAAATTTTGAATTTAATTTTTGTTTGTTTTATTTTTTATTTTTATATTTATTTTAAATTTTTTAATTTTTATTGTCTTATTTTGTTCTATCTAATACAGTGCTGCTAAGGTATTGTTTGTTTAATTATATGAGGTTCAGATTCAACATGGATACCATTGGATTTAAAAATTGAAATTGGAGCGTGAAACACTATTGGCTACGCAAAAATCAAAAAAAGAAAGAGAAGATATGGCTAATCCACCACAACTAGGGCTGAATATGAGTCGAGTCCAGTCGAACTCACCTCATCTCGGCTCGACTCGTTAAGAATTGGTTCGAGTTCGAGTTCGACACGAACTTTTTTTTAAGCTCAAACTCGACTCGTTATAAGTTCACGAACAGTTCAGTTCAACTCGTTAGGTTCATCTCGTTAGGTTCAACTCACATGATTCACGGACTTAAAAACTATTTTTTTCAAATATATATATATATTTTTAGTATATTTGACATTTTAAATAAATATATTTTTTAAAAATAAAATATTAAAATAAAATAAAAGTTATCATATTGAAATTTAACTTTATCTTCGAAATCTACTAATTCAAAACCTACACAACTTTCAAGAGATACATTTGAGAGTCTGATTAAAAAACTACTAAATTGAAGATTAAATTTGTCTAAGATTTGGAGTAAATATTTAAACCTAATCTTAAAGACAATATAATGCTTCTCATATGTAATCGAGTTGACTCATGAACCTAACGAGTCGAACTATGTATAGTTCAAGTTCAGTTCATTTAGTTAACGAACTTAATTTTTCGCTCATACTCAACTCATTTGGTTCATGAACCTAGTTCAACGATTTAATTGTCGAATCGAATTCCGAACTATTTTCGAGTTGGTTCAGTTCATTGTCATCCCTAACCACCACAAACATTGAGAAATTATTGTAGGTGGACTCACACTCGACACCAACTAATCTTGTAACGTTTGATATTAATAATTTTATACTTTTAGATTTAAAGATAAGAGACAAAAAAAAAATTTAATCATTAAATTAATATATAAATATGCATAAATACTGACCATAAACTAACATTTTTCATTAATTTAAATCAACTTACACATATTACTCACCGACCCTTTTAACAACTATTATCAAATTATAAAACAGAAAAATATTGTTTTAGATTTAAGTATATTAATAACATAAAATAAAACATGTTTTAATTTTCAATTTTTTAAAACCTCAAAATAAGAACTGATTTCAAATTATAAAACAGAAAAAAATTATCCTGAACTGAGTCCAAAGTGACAATTTCTTAGAACAAACATGTGTTATTAAAATGTGAAGATTATTATGGTAATGAAAGAGTAATTTTAAAATAAGTACAGAGTTCAGAATATTTGACCAAATCAAGATTAATTTGGTGGCATTTTTTAATCTTATAATTCATGAAACCATTCTAATACGTGACATGACAAAGAGATTCTCTTTCGCCCGTGAACAACATTTCAATTCTCTCACATCTATGCAACAAACAAGTTTAATTTCCCCATAAAATAAATCTCTTCAATTTTCAATCTTTGATAGCTCCACAAACAAATCCAAATAAATAAATAAATATTTCAAAGACTACCCACCACACCAACAGAACCCACCAAATACTACTTTTCCATCCTATACATATATGACCTACAATAGCACACAACTTTCATTCAACTCCATTCTCTTTCTCTTCAACTTCAAAATGGGTTTCAGAGTAATGACTCTGTTTCTTCTATTCTCTCTGTTTTGTTATGTTCTGTTTTGTGAAGCAGAGGAGTTCCATAATGTAAGTGGTGTAAGTGGGAACAAGCAAAATGGGTGCAATTTGTTCATAGGAAATTGGGTTGTTGACCCTTCTTATCCTTTTTATGACTCTTCAACTTGTCCCTTCATTGATCCTGAATTTAATTGTATAAAATATGGAAGACCCGACAAACAATACCTCAAATTCTCTTGGAAACCTGATTCATGTTCATTACCAAGGTAAATTCAAATCTCATAAACAAAGATTTCGTCACGAATAATATATGTATCTGATATATCATATATATTAATAGAAAATAAAATATTTATTTATAAGCACGACAAAATAGTATAAAATGACATGCCTTAATTATTAACATTGTTAACTAATTTAAAAATCGAGGTTAAAAATAGTTTATTGTTGACACTCAAACACTTAAACAACGTGGGAGAGTTCTCATTTCAGTGACATGAAACATTAATAATTTTTTTTATTGATGAGTATATTTTTTTTGTGAGGGTAGGTTTGATGGGGAAGATTTTTTGAACAAGTGGAAGGGAAAGAAGATAATGTTTGTGGGTGACTCACTGAGTTTGAACATGTGGGAATCGCTGTCGTGTATGATTCATGCGTCGGTGAAAAATGCAAAGACAAGCTTTGTGAGGAGGGAAGCACTGTCTTCGGTGACATTTCAGGTTTGTTTTTTTTATACATTATTTTAATGTTTTTTGTCTTGTTTCTAAGTTGGTGTTTTATTCAGTGGTGTTCAGTGAATCCAATCCTTCTACATTTGTGTTCATTTTCATTTCCTTGTTTGTTTCTCACTATCTTGTCTTTTCAATATGCTCCATGCGTTGGTTCTTCAAATATAGTTAGTGGATCTGGTTATCATAATTAGTTAGTGGATCTAATTATCATAATTACTTAGTCAGAAAAACTATTTTTAATTAAAATTTAAAAATAATTTAAATATTATTTTTCATAAAATTCATTTTAAAATTAAATAATATTATTTTGAATTAAAATTTTAAAAAAAATTTAAAACATTTAAATCTAATTCAATGGTCCTAGTAGTTGACCTATTATCTAGATTTTCAAATTGATGCACCGTAAAGTGTAGCTCAAGTTGTATGTAGAAAATGTAGCCCACAAAGCTAAGATGCTAGTGAGTGCTAATGCTTTAATGAAATTAAAATATCCTACTAACAAAAAATAATATAGTAATAAATTAATTTTTATACGCATTGAAGAGAATATTAAATCATGCTTATATAGTTTTCATTATAAATAAGCTATTCATTTATTTAAATTAATAGAATACTATTTTATACCCAAAAACACTTTAATGAGATGGTAAATAATCTCTTTCAATTTACTTAGAAATTTTGAGTTTGAATTCAACTCTATACATATAAATTAAAATTGCACGAAAAAAATATTCGATTTTTAAAAAAATATAAAACATGAAAACACCACAATTTCAACGTTGTTAAGACTTTAAATCAGTAGAAAATTCTGATTATAATAAGAAATTGACAGGCTGTGAATGAGACCATGCCAACCTGTGATTACAAGTTGAGGGAAGATCCCATTTTTTATTTATATTATTATTGCTGTTCATTATTTTCATTACTCAATAATCAATATCAATCACCGAACATGAAATTGTACTTTAGTACGTACACTCTTGTATATTTTTATTTATGGCTGTTCATTTATGACCATGGTAAGAAATAATAAAGGAATTGATATATTATTTATGACATAACTAAACATTATTGTAGATTTACATTAGTCCTATTTTTGAACTGAATGTATTATTATATGCTTACAAATACAAATACATGTTTCTACTTTTGAAAATGCTGTTTTTGTGTTGAAAATACTTTAACCACTTTTAATACTATTCTATAATTTGTTAAAGTGTAAGGAATGATACAAGGTTGAATCATTTCTTGCTTTTTCTAGAAACATACCAAGATAAAGATTTGTATTAAAGATTAAGATAATTGAGGTATCTTTGATATAAAGTAGAAGATAAAAAACAAATTAATAGATAACGGATTGATTTGTAGATACAGGATAATGTTAGCATATGTTTGGTATCAAAATTCTCTTGAATATAAGTTTTATTGTCTATTGTGATTTATCAAAAATACAAAGATTAATTTATGTAGTTGCGCGCTGAAAATAAACAGTTTATATAAGAATAAGAAAAAAACAGTGTTAAGAGTTTTACTTCAAACAACATATAATCTGAACATATATTTATAGCAGATGACAATTCTCATATTACAAGCCGATTCGTAAGATTGAGTCAGGTCCAAACAAACTCTAAAGCATAGTTTTTGTAAAATCACAATGACTAGACTAAAGGTGAATTCGACTCATGGAAGATGATATGAAACATAGTTGTTTTGCATTATGTTGTGTGGCTTTCCTTGTGATGCAATTTACTCTCAATCATTCAAAAATGATAACGGTTGGTGAGTTTATGTAGGACTATGGAGTAACTATCCAGCTATACCGCACACCTTATTTGGTGGACATAATACGAGAAAACATTGGTCGAGTGCTTACATTGGACTCCATTGTCGCTGGAGATTCATGGAAAGGCAATGACATGTTAATATTCAACTCATGGCATTGGTGGACCCACAGAGGAAAATCACAAGGGTATGCTTTTTCTACAATCATAATAAATTCAAATTTTAGTACCACACAACACACATACATATACCTAACGGTATGTTTGGTTGCTAATTAAGGTCTTGTTGATTATGATGTTCAGATGGGATTATATAAGAGATGGACATAACCTAGTCACAAACATGGACCGTTTAGAAGCATACCATAAAGGATTGAACACTTGGGCTAGATGGGTTGATCTTAATGTTGATTCTTCCAAAACTAAAGTTTTCTTTCAAGGCATTTCCCCTACTCATTATATGTAAGAAACTGATTCATAGTTCTTAGTGTCAGTAGACAGGGTCGTACTTTAAAGATGTGGAAGACGGACTACTGCAAATGATATAAAATTTAATACGGTTAAACTGTGACTAAATAGGGTTTCATAAAATATATTTTAGGATTAAATCATAGTTAAACATGATATCTATTATTATTATTATGTAAATTATTATTAAGTGAATGTAATTTATGAATTTTTTGGCTTGAATTTGAATAGGGGCAAGGAGTGGAATCAACCAAAAAAAACATGTAGTGGACAACTTGAGCCATTAACAGGATCAACATATCCAGCAGGTCTACCTCCACCATGTAACATATTGAACAATGTGTTAAAGAATATGAAAACTCAAGTTTATCTTCTTGATATTACACTTCTTTCACAATTGAGAAAAGATGCACACCCTTCTTCTTATAGTGGTGATCACGCCGGCAACGATTGCAGCCATTGGTGCTTACCAGGATTACCTGATACGTGGAACCAGCTCTTGTATGCAGCTCTCTCCTAAAGTGTTTTCAGAAAATTCTTCATTAATTGGGAAATATAGTTACTAAGGGATGAAAATCAAGTGTAAAATTATAGGATTCTTGAATAATTTACTAAAATAAGTTTTATCATAGTGCTGGAATTTGTTGAATATAAAGAAAAGTGTTTTAAAGGAGGATAAATTTTGTAATTTTATTGAATCAATGATTATATAATACTTTCTTATTGATTGGTGCATAAACCATGTAATATATTCCATAACTGTAACTGCTGAAAGGTTGATTCTATTAGTGAAATGAAACTATTTTGTTTCCCTTTAGAGAAAGAAAATGACATTTTTAGTTTTTGTGTGTAATACTTGAGAAGAGAAGCTATATATATATATATATATATATATATATATATATATATATATATATATATATATATATATATATATATATATATATATATATATATATATATATATATATATATATATATATATATATATATATATATATATATATATATATATATATATATATATATATATATATATATATGCTACATGATAAATATTTTGGAAGTATAAGATTCGAACTATTAATAGATTAAAGGAGGGTTTTTTCAAATCCTAGAAAAAGATGAGATTGCACTTGTTAGAACAAATGTTTGCTTGCACTACAAGAAAAGAAAGGTTGATGAAAGTATGAGATAAAAGATGAGAGAACAATAGTGAATTGTACTCAAAATGATTGAATCGTCATACAAAGTGTATATACATTATTTATAGACTGTCTATCTAAATTAACTAACTAGCTTCCATAATTAGCAACCATTTCACAAAGTTACTTAAAACATCTAATAACTTACTTAACTAACTTTTATTTGACATAGAGTTGAGTTAATTAACAACATTCTCCCTAAATTCAAATTTATAGTAACCATTTTGAAACAAACTTATGTTGAAAAAGCATTATCTAACCGATTAAACCTAATGAACTAATTCATTAAGCATTTTTACAATTCAAATTTTACGCCATCTAATCGATTAACTCTAATGGACTAATCGGTTAGAAGATCCTAGAGTTGCCACCGCCTCAAAAAATCAACCACAATTGATGGACATAAATTTTATAATCGATTAGAAGTCCAATTAATATATTAGAACTAATTTATAAATAGATAAATAGATTTCTCTTTTCTTCCATCCCATCTCAAATAATCTTTTCATATTATTTTCTTTCTAGCTTTCTTGTTTCTTTGTGTTCTTGTGGCTTTGTGCGTGCTACTAAGGTTTGTCCGGTTATGTTTTATTTCTTTTCAATTTAGTAGTTTAATTTATTTGTTGTAATTGAGTCGTTTCACATAGTTGTGCATTCTAGAGTTGAGTGCTAAATCATTTTTACGCATTGATAAATTGAACAATTTACTTAAAATCAATGCAATATGTTTATAATCAGTTAGTCATACATTTTCATCCAACAGGCCAAACCACTATTAACTCTCTCTCTCTCTCTCTCTCTCTCTCTCTCTCTCTCTCTCTCTCTCTCTCTCTCTCTCTCTCTCTCTCTCTCTCTCTCTCTCTCTCTCTCTCCTCCCTTCAGATCATCGGTACCCAATTTCTAGACCATTTGAGTTCATATTCTCCCCCCTAACAATTGGCCTCAAGGATGATCTTATTATCATTTCTGACGACTCAAAAAGTTTAGAATACGGGTAACAATGATCTGAAGGGAGCGTACAATAGAGTCCCGATTTTTAAAGGAGAAAAATATGCTTATTGAAAGGATAATATGTACATTCACTTAATATCTATATATAAAAATGCTTTGGATAGATATCACAAAAGAACCTTTTATACCTCAGTGATTTGGATGACATATCCATTGTAAAATCCCAAAGGATTGGATAAATGGCGAAACTAAAAATGCACCTTATGACTTGAAGGCAAGAAACATACTCATTTATGTGTTAAGTGCGAAATCGTATTACACAATTTCACATATTAAAACTACATAGACAAAGTGGAATGCTCTTTAAGTACCCTTTGAGGGTACCGAAGATGTAAAGGAATATAAAATTAACATGTTATAAGATGAGTATGAACTATTTTGTATGGAACCCGGTGAAACCGTGGAATCCATGCATATGTGTTTTCTCCATTAAATCAACAAACTAGAAATTTTGAGAAATCTTTACCTAACCAGAATTATGCTAACAAAATTTTGAGATAAATGTCCAGGAAATGACAACCTAAGGTAATCACCATTGAGGGACCACATAATCTAAAAACTTTGAATGTATCACCTTGTTTGGAAAACTCATCGAGCCTGAAAAATGACTTGAAAAGACTTGCTGCAAGTGAAGTCAATGCTAAAAATAAAGAGAAAGCAAAAGAAGAGAATCGATACAAGTACTTGAAAGTCTCATCTTCCAAGACAAGAAAAGTGGGGGAAGATTGTGAAAGTTCTAACGAAGATTCTTCCAAAGAGGAAGAAATGGGTTTATTGGTCAAACACTACAATAGATATATAAAAAATCACCTAATCAAACATTAAGAGAAAAATGTGTTTAACTTTAATAAATCTCATCCACATAATAAAGAATAAAAGAAAAAGGAAGATAATCAATTTACATGTTATGAATTAGGAAAACAATAAGAAAGAGTCATACAAAACAAAGGATAATCAAACCCAAGGCCGTAAAGCTTATATCTTTTAGGAAGAAGAATATGAAACTTCATCTTCTTCTAGTTCGAGCTCAAATGATAATGAATATACAAATATGTGCTCAACAACGCACAAAAAAGAACGTTTCACTATCTAATGTTGTTACTATATTTTTGAGTGAGAAAGGGAACACTGTAAGAAAAAATCCCACTTCACTACTAAAGATAGATGGAACGTTTCATATAAAGATAATTTTCATTATTGTGGTGATTAATATCACATTAGATCTCTTTGCAATGTTAGGAATATCGAAGTTTCTAATGGTATTATGGCATGGATAACTAAGTTTCCTCTTACTTACCCTCAAATATCTACTAGTTGTGTACCTGAATTTCTTGTTTAATCTCTTGTAGGATGGTCTTATTTCCTCAAGACTTACTCTTGTTCTATTTATAATTAACTGATCAAATAAAGCGCTAAGCGCATGACCAAATGAGATTTCACACTTTCTCACTTTCACAACTTCAAGAATTCAAGTTCTTTTACTTGATTCAATATTTTCTATCACTTCAACTAGAACTTGAAAAATATGAGTGATGAGGCTTGAGATATATCTTCTCGCTTTAGATTCCATCATTAGGAATAATCGGACAATTGTTATTAACTCCCACTTTGGTAGTTGCCACAAATAATTCTTGAAAGAGCTATCATCAACACAAAAGTTATTTTAATTAAGAGTTTTCATCACCAAATCTATTTGACAATTGTCCTCGTCAAAACCAATTGACAATTATACTTGCATAACACATAGAACCAAATTCCACCCCTTTTGATAATGAAAGTGCATCTTACTCCCCCATCACAAGGAAAGAGAGTGTATTTTACTCCCCCTCTCTCCCCCTTTCGCATTATAAAAAAGGTGGGAAAAATTAAGAATCACATAGACCACATATATCACAAACTTGTAAGATAAAACTTATAATTATATTTGAATAAAAATAAAGAAAACAATGTTTATTATAAGAAAGCAACAAGCCAAAAAATAAAACACACAAAATACAAGAAATAATTTGGGCAAGACAACTACTCATTTTCGTTATCATCATAAACATCAAAAAGCCTCAAGAAACTTACTTTTTCTGCATACACAATTGCATGACTTATAGAAAAGGCAACTTGGTTGTATACCCAACGAAGAGTTTTGGTGTTTCTCAGGTGAAGCCTATTTGTTTCTTTTGTGCTTGTAAGAATGAAAGTCAACAACACTACTATAGATTAATTTTGAGGAATCTCAAAGTTAAAAGCTTCCATGTTTGTTGGTTCATTCTCTAAGACTCGATCATTTTCTCTAACTTAGTGAGTTCTATTAGATCAAAGTGACGTGTGATATTTATCGTTACCCTTCTATATTGTTTCCAGCATAAGGAAAAAAATTGTGATTAAACCTTCATATGATAACCACGTTTTAGTCCTCCTCTTTCATTCCATTATATGTTGAATTACTCCATACACCAGGTTGGTTCAGATGTTTTGAGCTAGTAGCCACGTGATCACAACATGATCCTTTTACACTTTATCACGTCTAGTCTTCTTTGGGAAAAGAAAATGTGAAACTAAATGGTGAACAAAATGATAAGTTTCTTTTATATGCTTCACTTACCACCTATTAGATTGGTATGAAATGTTTTAACAATAATATATACTTTGAAGTTTTGAGTACCAGACAGAGCATCAGCTGTCGTACCTTAAAAAATATGATCCTTCGCGAAGCGTTTGCATGCTCGCATAAAATGATTTGAAGAGTGTTACCGCTGAAGTTTATTCATTCCAAAGAAGGAAAGGGAAAATATCGATAAAACCCTAAAAAAGAAGATGGTCGCTGCAACCATATTTAGGTTCAAGAGTCGACTGTGTAATGGGGAGGTATTAGCACCTCTCACGTCCATTGTACTCAGTGGAAACATTTTAGCTAAATTTATGATTGAATGTTAGCTATCGTTACTTATTTTCTTCAAGTGGTAAAAAATTAAACAGAAAAAAGAAAGGGTTCGCAAAAAAGTTTTTTTATTAATGTTCCTGATGAGATTGCAGGTCTCACTCCTATGTATCTCCGGGTGCAATGGAGAACTCAAGACTAAGTAGTTCTGGGTAACAAATGTTTGTGTGTTAGTTGATTTTATCGAAAGAGTCTTAATTCGCATTCGAATAGAGAAAATTGTTGCCCAAAACATGGATAACTGAACATTTGCATCACTTCAAGAATGGATGACTTAATTAAGATCAACACATATTTATGCCATCATCATATTCGAGTGGAATATGTTTGATATTATCACAAGGGAGTGCTATTTTCATTGTTGTAGATTGG